CTCCGGCCCCCGCCTCCTCCCCCGGCTTCTACCGGGCCGCGTACCCGGCCCCCTCGGACTTCGGCGTGCATTGCAGCAGCCAGACCACCGTGCTGGACCTGGACACTCACGTGGTGACCACGGTGGAGAACGGCTATTTGCACCAGGACTGCTGCGCCTCCGCCCACTGCCCCTGCTGTGGCCAGGGCGCCCCGGGACCCGGCCTGGCGTCCGCCGCCGGCTGCAAGCGCAAGTACTACCCCGGGCAGGAGGAGGACGACGACGAGGACGAGGACGCGGGCGACCTGGGGGCCGAGCCCCCCGGGGGCGCCCCGTTCGCCCCCTGCAAGCGCGCCCGCTTCGAGGACTTCTGCCCGGACTCGTCCCCGGACGCGTCCAACATCTCAAACTTGATCTCCATCTTTGGCTCAGGCTTCTCGGGGCTGGTGAGCCGACAGCCGGACTCCTCGGAGCAGCCGCCGCCGCTCAACGGGCAGCTGTGCGCCAAGCAGGCGCTCGCCAGCCTCGGCGCCTGGACTCGAGCCATTGTCGCCTTCTAGGGACCCCCGAGGGCACGGGGACCCGGGGCCCCGTGGGGCTGGGGCCAGACAAAGACTCGGCCAAGGGGCGAGAGGAAGGAACGAACGGGCGCCCGGCCACTCGGGCTGAGCTGGGGGCTCGCAGGGGAGGCGGCTGATGTTTTATAAATTGTAAAATAAAAAAAAGAAAACAAATCTAAGATCTTGGACTTTATTTTTGCAGAGAGAAAAAGCGCCTATTTAAGTATGCTTTGTGTTTCTCCTACTCTTTTTTTCTTTCTTTCTTTCTTTTTATTGTAGTGATTGCAGTGGTGTTTAGCAAGGAGCCAGCCACGTGAGGGAGGGCTGCTGCCCGGAGGAGGTGCCGGGCAGCCGGGGGCGAGGCTGGGCGCTCTGGCCGCCGGGGCGCGCTGGGGGCGCAGCGCAGGAGGGCGCGGGGCCGGGACTCCGATTCCAATCAGTTGTCAAACCCAGGAAGCGGGCGCGCGGCTCTCCCGAGCCCCTCCGCGGGGTGAGGAATGGGTCTTGTGAAATCCTGAGCAAAAACAAAGGCAAACTCTATCTCCGAAAGGGACGTTTGGGTCACATTTCCTCTCTGGGGGCGGCCTCCAAAGTTCTCCAAATGAGAAGGCAGAAATGAAAACACTTCAACTTTTTTTCTTTTCTTCCCGGGGCGGGTGTCTTGAACCCCTCCTCTCCCCGCCCCTCTGGCTCCGTCCTCCTCCCCTCCTCCACCCGCATCCCGGACTCGGGGGTGGCGCCGGACACCCCGACACTTTCGGACACGGTGTGGGGAAGGGGTGGGGGGCGGGCACGGCGGACTACATTTCCCATCATGCCCAGCACTGCGGTCCTCACGAAACAAAAAAGGAAGTCGGTGCCTTCACCTGGATCCCCGCGGCCCCGAGGGAGGGAGGGGCCGGGACCGCCGGCCGCGCCGAGACTTTGCGCCAAGTTCCTGGTCAGACGTGTGTTTGTGTGTGCGCGTGCAAGTTGCACTGCGCGGCTCAGCCTCCGGCTGCCTCTCGTGAAACCAGCATTGTTCGAGCCTGCGAGAACCGTCCTGGGTCTTCAGCTCGATAGATTTTGTTTAATTTAAAAGCCTTTTGTTGTGAAAAGGTGGGGTTCTCTGCCGTCAGCACCATGGGAACCTCCAAACAAGTTGCCAAGCCTTCTTCCCAGGCCCCTCTCCCCCGCCCCTCTGTATTTTTGTGCACACTGATTGTATATCGCCGGGTAAAACTGTTCAGATTGTTTAAATTTATAATCTCAATAAAGAGTCGACTCCGGAGGATGGTGGTGCCTTGCTTTCAGGGCGGCGGGGAGGCGACGGGGAGGGTCGGGGGAGGTGGGGAGACCCTACCCCCACGTAAACCCCGGCTCCCCTCGGCCGGGGCGGATGGGACCTGCCCACATCCGCAGGACCGGGGTGGGAGAGGGACCCGGCGAAGCTTGGTCGCTGGGGTTGACGCCGGGGTCGCGCGCCTCCGGGACCCCAAGCCCACGGGGGCCTGCGGCTGACGGGAACCGGCCACCCCCGGATCTGCAGCCGGCCGCCCCGCCAGCCTCCGGCACGTTTCCTACCCTGCCAGGGGCGCAGGGCCTGGTGGGCCTGGAGTCGGAGCTCTCCGCGGCGGGGGAGAGCAGCCGGGGGCGCCGGGGGGCTTCTGGGCCACCCACACTCCCCGCCCGGCGCCTCCGCCCGCACGTCCGCACGTCTCGGGCTGCGACTTGGGGAAGTTTTTTCCTTTTCCTTTTTTTTTTTTAAGTTGAGTTTGTTATCACTGCTCGGTGCCACTTGGTGGTGTGCTGGCGGCGTCTCCCTCCCTCCTCGCTCCCTCCTCGCTCCTCTCCCCTCCCTCCCGCCCGTCTCTCTGCCCTCCCCAGTGGATGGAGCTGGAAGGCTCGGGGCGCGCTCTCCCCTCTGACCACCTACGGGATGACCTCAGAGTGGGAGAATGTGCCAAGGCCCGGAGGAAACTCGCGTTCGCCCCACTGGAACCAGATTCACATCTGGAGCCGCGGCTCGGGCCGGGGGCGCGCTGGGAGCTTCCAGTTGCGCGAAGGGGACAGGAAAGAAAGGGTGGCGAGGGGCGGCAGGGCATGGGGGTGCCCCTCTCGGTGCCTCTGTCCCTGCCTCCCCGATGCGTTCTCGCTCGCCCTGTCGCCCCTGCGCTCCCCTTTGCTGCGCGAGGCTCCCCGCAGGCCGACTCACGCCCCCACCCCAACCTTCACCCCGCCCGCAGCCAGAGGAGGGGTCCCGCCCCAGACCCCGAGAGGCAGCCGCAAGCCAGCCCCAGGGGGCGCGGGCCGCCGGGTCCGGGTGTCGCGCGGGGCGAAGTTCGCGGAGACTCCAGAGCGCGGGGCGCCGCGAAGGTCCGCGGCGGGGGTGGGGAAAGACCGAGTCTGGGGGCGCGTGAGTTGCGGGGGTGGGGGGAGGAAAGGCACCTTCACCTCCCGGGGCTATTTTCTCGGCCTCCCACGGGAAGAGCCCGGAGCTGCTGAGGAGGGGGTACGGCGTGTCTCCCCCTCTCCGCCCCCCGCCCCCCCGCAAGACCCAGGAATCAGTTGGCTGCGCCGCTGCGATTCAATCCCCCAAGCCAGTTGCCAGAGCTCCCCCTAGCGCCGCTTCGGGGGTGCTGCAGCGGTGGCGGCGGGGAGTGGGCGCGGCACCGCGGGGGCCGCCGGGCTGGGGGCGGCGGCTGCGCGGCTCCCACCTGGGGCGCAGCGCCGGGTCCCTCCGGGGCTGGAGGGGGAGCCCCGAGCCGCGTGCGTCCGCACCCCGAGCCCGCGTCGAGGAGGGGCACGTGGCCGACCGCCTTTGTTGGGCGCGGACTGGGCACCGCGAGAGACCGGCCAAGGGGCTTGGGAACGCCCCACCCGTCCCGATCCCCATAGCACAGGAGTAGGGGTGGCGGGCTGCGTCTCCAGGCCAGTGACTCATCAGGACCCCTGACCGCGGTCTCCTCCCTTCAGCCAGGTTTTCTAAGCTTCAGCAGCGCCCACCGGCTCGGGCGCCTGGCCATCTAGTGAAAGCCTGGACCGGGAACCGAGCGCCCTGGGAGCCCCTGGGAGCGCGCAGAAGAGAGAAGCCACCCTCCTCCCCACCTACCCGCCCCCCAACACACACACATCTTCTCAGGGCCCAGGGACTTTGAGCAGCTCCGCAAAGGGTTAATGCCCTGAGCAAAACACTCAGTGACCCAAACACCGCCCACCCGGACCCACTAACACAGTCCACCCCAACAGTGAAGGGACCGCAGTGTGAGAGGGCGCTGCTCGCCCCTGAGGCCACCCCCGGCCAGGTGCGCTGCCCACACGGGGCACTCTGGGCCGCACCCTCCCTCAACTCCCCCAGCTGAGCATCCTGAGAGGAGGAGAGGGTGCCCGGGAGCAACTCACAGCTGCCAGGGGAGGGGCGCAGGGAGGCGCCCAGTCAGGGGGGCTGGGGAGAGGGGAAGCAGGCGGGCACTCCAGGGGCCACAGACAAGCTCCAGTCTCTCCAGCGAAAAGGCCAAGCTGGACCCCTACGTAGCTCCCAGGCAGGGCAGGCGGAGCTGTTTGGGGAGTTAGGGAGAGGGAAGATACTGAGGTAGGGAAGAAGGAGGGAGGAGCTTCCAGAGAATGGCAGCCCTGGCAGGGAAAGCGCTAGAAGCTAGAAGCCAGGTACCCCTTATCCAGCACTCCCCCAAACACTCCCCTCCCAGCCGGCTGCGGCTGAGGGAGGGCTGAGCCAGCCCCCAGCCCCACTCCCACCACAGAGGGGCTGGGCCCACAGCCCTGGGCTCCCAGGGGTGCAGGCTGCCCGGCCTCCTAGCCGGGCCACCGTGGGGTGCTGAGGGCGCGGGCACCTGGGGCTGTGTCCACACCAGGACCCGTGTCCTTCCCTGGCACGCACCGTGGGAGCCCAAGCCCACCACCGCACAGAAACAGCAGCAAAGGCAACAAGGGCGAATCCGCCTGGATTCCCGCATTTAGTCTTCTCAGCCACTCTCCGAGGCCGACAGCATTCGTATCTGCAGGCTAGAAATGAGAAAACCTGCCCAGAGTCGCATACCTGAGAGGTGGCCAGCCTCCCTGTTGCAGTGTGGTGGGGAAGAACTGGCAGGTGGCAGGGTGAGCGGCGACTGCTCTTGGTGTCTGAAGAGGGATACTGGTGCATTCTAGGGGGCCCCAAACTGGGCTCTGGGCTCCGGTCACCAGGGTGCTAGCAGGCCGGCGTCCACCTTCCCCAGTGTTTCATGCTCCGGGCCAGGGCAAGGAGCGCGGTCTGCGCCCCACCCGCAGGGAGGGACTGACCTAGCCCTGGCATCTGTCAGAACTCTTGCTGCAGGGGCCAGAACCAGCTTGGGGCCAGGTCTGCCAAGAGGTGGGCGTTCTCGGCTCATGGCAGCAGTGTGCAGTGCACAAGGGTGTGCTGGCTTCAGGTACAGCTGGGTCCAGGGACAATCCTCCAGGGTGATGACTGTCTCTGCGCCGACCTTCCACCCTGCGGCTGCAGCCCTGCTTCTCACTCTAGCTATGGATGGCGGTGCCTGGATCCCCTTCTCAGTTTTGCCACCCAAGAGGGACTGTCCTTCTATTCAACTCGGGAAAATCTCAGGGAAGACCCCTGGCCGGCCCCAAACACATGCCCAGAGTCTGAGGGTGGCTGCTGACCCCACTGGGAAGTCATGGCAGAAAGGCAGGTGGCTGAGAGAGCGGCAAGCCAAGCTAACAGGCATTTTACGCGGGGCACGGGAGACTGGGCCCAGACAAGGCTGCTCCAGGGTCAGGGTGTCATGCAGACACCCCGAGGGAAGGGAGCCTCTGCTTAGTCCTAGCCAGGCTCCAGCCTCACCCAGTGCCCCCTCCCCCACACCCACCCCTCATCCCATTTGCCACTCGGGAGTCACCAGAGTAAGGCAGGCCACAGCTCCCAGTGACAAGGGACAAGGGCCACCTGGGCAGACTTGGGACACCCACAAGCAGGCTCCCTGGGAGAGCGTGAGGGAGGCTGAAGTGCTGACCAGCAGGGCGGAGAGGAAGGGCCACTGGGCACAGGGCGCACCCCCGATTCACACTGCAGGGTAAAGAGGCTGGACACTCACAAACTGAATCGGCTGTTACTGGGGGGATTACAGAGGACCTTTGTCTGATCGTTCATGCATTTCCAGATTTTCCAAATTTTTTACAATGAGCGTGTATCGCTTTTATATTT